GAGCGGCACGCGGGAGTGAGGGCGGCCCCCTAGCGGGGCGGGGGTACTGGGACTGACTGGGGAGCACTGGAACAGACTGGGGGATACTGGGACGTAATGGGCAGCACTGGGATGGACGGGGGAGGCGCTGGGACAGACTGGGGACACTGGGGCAGAGAAGGGGCACTGGGACATAGCGGGCTGGAGACTGGGGGTGACTGGGATATACTGGGAAGGACATAAGGGCATACTGGGGGGAACTGGGGCACAGTGGGGAAAACTGGGATAAACTGGGGGGCACTGGGTGACACTGGGGGGGGAGGAAGCGCTGCACATCACACCAACTGGAGTATGCTGGGTGGAACTGGGCTATACTGGGGCCACTGGGACAAGGAACTGGGGCACCTGGGGAGTCAGAGAACATACTGGGGGGCACTGGGATGAGAAAATGGGGCTTTACTGGGAAGCACTGGATGTACTGGGGGAAAAGTGGAGCAGACTGGGAGCACTGGGAGACATTGGGCCAAGCGGGGGTAACTGGGAGGCAGTGGGGGAGCTGATACTGGGCATACTGGGGGGCACTGGGACAGGGGAAACTGTGCATACTGGGAACCTGGGACCAGAAACTGGGTATACTGGGCACACTGGGACTGGGAACTGGGCACACTGGGAACTGGGGGGAAGGGAACTGGGCACACTGTGAGCCGTGGGGCAGGGAACTGGGCAGACTGGGAGCCCTGGGGCACGCAATTGGGCAGACTGGGATTGGGAACTGGGCACAGTAGGGTTGGAAACTGGTTGTACTGGGAGCCCTGGGACAGGGAACTGGGCACACCAAGATGGGTAACTGGGCATACTGGGAACCAGGATACTGGGAGCCCTAGGACCAGGAGCTAGGTAAACTGGCACACTGGGATTGGGACCTGGGCATACTGGGAGCCCTGGGGCAGAGAACTGGGAATACTGGGCACACATGGATTGGGAATGGCGCATACTGGGAGCCCTGGGGCAGGGAACTGGGCATACTGGGATTGGGAACTGGCCATACTGGGAGCCACGGGGCAGGGAACTGGGCAGACTGTGAGCCGTGGGGCAGGGAACTGGGCAGACTGGGAGCCCTGGGGCAGGGAACTGGGAAGACTGTGAGCCGTGGGGCAGGGAACTGGGCAGACTGGGAGCCCTGGGGCA